TATATATATATATATATATATATATATATACACACATTAGATATCACTCTGAAACCAATACTAAATATAAGTAATAAAAAACGTTTTTGTTTTTTTTTGGAAGAGCACATTACATTTTTAGTTTTACTTGGTATTTTACCGAAAAGCCTGGTAAATATATATTTTTCAATTCAAGAGCATTCTTTTAACAATACTAATGTTGCTGTGGAGTTACAGGTAATTTAGCTAATATAGATAATCATAATAAAACATAAGATAAAATACGTATAAAATAAAAAAATCTGTAGAAATGATTTAGTAAAATTCCATAATAATAGAATTTATAAGTTGGATCTGTCATGTATTGTTGCAATCATCATAGGAATATGGATTTTGAATCTTTTGTAAATTAAAAATTGGGCAGTATTAAATTCCCATCTGGATCATGTCCGGTATAGTAAGGTACAGGTGTGGATCATAGATGTTTTTGTGATGTAGAATGGTCAAAGCTGTGAATTAAAACACCTCCAATCTGTTGATTCCCTGCAGCCCAGTGTGGAGACTGAGCATTCGCTCTCAAAGCAAACTAGCTGGCACTAGCAAGTGACTCATTGAGATCTATAAATCCCTTGTGACACCAGAAAAATAGATGGCTTTTGGCAAGCTGCCCCACACCATTTTGTGTGCTACTGGTTAATTGAAATACCCCACTTCACATTTCCCTATGTGCTGTTACGAGAGGATACATGAAATCTAGAATGTAGTTTTTGCCTTTGACCAATCTTTCAGTACTCTTTCAGCTATGCATCAGCATGCAGATAGCTATTGGTAATAGTTTACATTATGTACACAACCAAAACTCTTTGTTTCCAATCTCCTCTATCATTTAAGTAAGCTGTGGTTCCAGCCAAAGCATTATCAGTTCAGTCGAAGTGTAAATTTGTGTGGTGTGTGTGGACTCATGCTAGTGGATTGGCTGGGTTGGTCTTTGAAAGATATGCAATACACAAAAAGGAAAGAGAAGGTGTTGGTGATGATGAAGGTCCTCGGAAAGTTGTCTACGTGTTTGCGTGCACTTCATGCATCTTCAAACACACCACGTCTGCAGAACGATCCAAGTTTTTTGTTATGCTTGTGTATACTCCAATATGTTGCTTAAACTCAGAAAGGCAAGGCTGGTCATCCATTCCCCAGCATTGGCCACTGTCCCAGAGATGAGTGAATTCAGATTGTTTTTGAAGGATTTTCCTCCAGGAGGTCCAAAATCACCCACATCCTGCTATTGCAGGGTAATGGGTCAGTCATAGAGTCATAGATGGCCGCACAAAAGCTCTCCAATTTTTTCACATGCAAAAGGATGAGAGTTTTATGAAGACAGGAAGAAAGAAAGAAAGAAAGAAAGAACACTCCAAAAGGGAAGGAAAGGGAAGAGTCCGCATTGTACTCCTATAATAAATTAAACTGAACCAACACATTCTTACTTAAAACACTCCATACTCCACTTGATCAGGACCACTTGAAGAAATATATATATAATTTCTACAGTTACAAATGCATACAAAAATAAATGTGTCTTGACCTGATGTGTAAGGAAAACAATTGAAAGCAATAGTGTATGTTGAAAATAGATGCTAAAGAGGTATCTAGTGCATTACAATGTGACACCAAAGTAGTCCTGACCAAGCGTGTGACGAGTTGGGAGCAAAAATGCATTGCCTGAAACAATTGAATTTGTTTAAAGTTTGTGTTATATAAGTAACCCAATGGTTGAAGTGAATAAAATATGAAATCTATATCTCTTTTCTTTTATCTTTTTCTTTCTTTCTTCTCTGTCACACCCCTAAAGGGTTAGCTCAACCCCCAGAACAACCTGAGGGTGAGTAAATGACGGCAGAATATTTGGGTAACTTAACAAATTAATTTTATTCCTTGCACATACAATGCCGTGAAAAGGATTTTGCCCCTTGCTGTTTTTTTTTGCATATTTGTCACACTTAAAACATTCAGATCATCAAACTAATTTTAATATTACACAAAGATAATGAAGTAAATACAAAATGCAGTTTTTTAAATGATGATTTCATTTATTAAGAGAAAAAAGCTATCCAAAAAACCAACACAACATTTCATAAAAAGAACATCATGCCAACAGTCAAACACGGTGGTGGTAGTGTGATGGTCTGGGGCTGCTTTGCAGCTTCAGGACCTGGACGACTTGCCATAATTGATGGAACCATGAATTCTGCAATCTATCAGAAAATCCTGAAGGAGAATGTCTGGCCATCAGTTTGTACCACACTTGGGTTATGCAGCAGGACAATGATCCCAAACACACCAGCAAGTCCACCTCTGAATAGCTCAAGATAAACAAAGCCATTTATAAGGCTTTGGGACTCCGGCGAACCATGGTCAGAGCCATTATCTACAAATGGAGAAAACTTGGAACAGCGGTGAACCTTCCCAGGAGTGGCCGGCCAACCAAAATTACTCCAAGAGCGCAACGACGAGTCATCCAGGAGGTCATAAAATAACCCAGAACAACGTCTAAAGAACTGCAGGCCTCACTTGCCTCAATTAAGGTCAGTGTTCATGATTCAACAATAA